GATTGACTTGTAGGTGAAGCACTATTGTCTACAGTAGAACAATAAAAAAGTGATAAGTTTATTAAGATGCAGAGTTTCTGAAATGAAATAAGGTCACTCTTAAGAATCCTTGCATGTGCTTCCTGTTCAAGAACTTCCAATCAATAATTCAATTTAAAACTAAAGACTGAAAGCAAAGTTGGGGAAATGTTTCAAAACCAGCATTAGGAATCTCATAGGTAGCTACAGAAAATGCTGTTGTTATTTTTGCCAAAAGAATATATATAGGGAAAAGAATGTCACATTCCTGTTTTTTTTTAATCTTGAATCTGTATATAAATAATAAATAGATAATTCAAATTTGAAGATGTTATGCTTAACTTTGAATCATGTAGATGTTACCTCAAGCCTCACAGAAACATACCATTTGACCAATTATGCCTATACATTTTTGTGCATGTTTCTTTTTCACTTCAGAATGAAAGGTTAGGCATTATGTTTGAAGGAATGAAGCTGAAAAGTTTCAGAGAATGCAAAACATTAGAATCCTTTTTACATTTTTAAAATATGTAAGTAATCAGACTAAAGTACACAGCATTCATGGGCACAGTGCTTCCCACAGACAGCGCATCAAGACCTCAGTGATACAACAGGTGTCTTCCATCTGATCTTGGAGATTTATAAATCTTCCAAGCCAACATGGCTAATGGTAATTTCTAGTCCAAAGCTGGAGAACTCCAGTGGGAACGGCTCCATGATCCCTCCCATGCAATCTCCTTGCCTGTCTTTGTTGAGTAGGATACATTAACTAAACTATTAAATCTCGAGCAAAGATTTGTTAGAACATTCAATGCTTCAGAAACTTCACCCTTTATAACCCTTAAAGCTCAAATCAATCATTCTATTCTTCCCCTATTCAGGAATTGTAAACCATTGCAAAGACAAATATCAAAACAGTCATGTGCATATTAAAGTAGTTGTGGTGGTGTTGTTTTTTAAAATATAACTAGGGGAATCGTTATTGTATATTGTTAAATGTTTTTTTAAATTTCTTTCACTTTTTGGGGAGTGTGCAAGCAACTTCCTGAAGTTAATGACAAAACAGCTTTTTCCCCATCTGTTCCTATGTATAAGCCTATATATCATAAATGCATATGGCAAATATTCGTCACTCTCAAACTTTTCTCTTACTGCAGATGGATGATTAACATTTAAAACGAAGCCATATAATGCTATGATTATTGCAGGTTTACAAACAAGGGCAGTCCAACCCCGTTCCAAACAGGAAATTCTACCCACAACCTTTTTCCACGCTCGTTCTCTGGCACCTGGTATTTGGAACATGTTGGCTGACCCTGGAGGTAATCACAATTGACAGCTATTATAACCAATGGCATCCATCTGCCAACTTCTCCAAAATCTCTGCTGGTAGCCTGGAGAATTCTCTTGAGCAAATTTTTTAAAAGGGGGCAAGGGAGAGATTCTCTTGCTTGATCAGAAATCCTGTGTAGAAAACTGATTTTCACTGGGGGTGGTGGTGGTGGTGTCTGATCTGTCAAATTCAAGTGCCGTGTATGTTTAAACTGATCTACAACTGTGAAATGCTTCTTTTAAGTATATAATAACTTCCAATCTTTTAACTAACGTTTATAAAGGACTGATTAGCACAAACATTGGAATCTGTTTGCTTCACATAAATAATCATGGCCTTACATGGCTTTAAGATATATTGAAGATGCATGTGATTTTTCTTGCTAAAAACAATCTTGTTTTTTTTAAAAAACACTGAACAATTGTCTGCATCCACGTCCATCATTACAGAAAGCTGTGGCACTAATTCTCAACAGAGGCTCTAGTATCTCAGAAATGACTGTAAATGAATTGTACTGGCATATTTGAAATAATTCCTTTCACAAACTCAACTCCTGACCTTTCAAATCTTATTTTCCTTTTGTTGAAAAAGTGCTGAAATTTCACCAAAAGGTTTTGCTCAGGTCATTAAATACAGAAGATAATCAGGAGAATGACATTCCTAATTACCTAGGAGTTGGGATGGACAAAAAAGATGTCTTCTATTCTTGCTGCATCTTGTGAAACCTGAACTTAAGGTTTGAAAGCTAAATTCAAGCTAAATTTTGCATAAAGAAAATTAAGACAAAAGCTCCTTCTCAGTTCTGCCAATCTGATTTCCAAGTATTTCTACCCCATCTTGATCACAAACCAAAGAAATTGGTTTTTTTTAAAGTAAATGACACTGGCAAGTCATAGTCATTTCAGACTCAGTTCTGCATTTTTTTAATCTGATTGTATCTTATAAGAAAATATGTAAGTCAAACCAAAAATTCAAGGTGGTTTCTGAGACAAAGGGACATGACATGGTAAGAGCAATCATTTCAGATAAAATGTCCTATTCAAATGGTCCAAACTACTCTTTACTATATTGCCATGTTGATTTCTCCAACATTAATTCAAAGGCCACGTTAGATACAGAAAATCATGCAAATTACTTTGGTATGAACTATCATACTACCTCAGAGCCTAACTTAGTTATGCAATCAGGTCAAATCCTAGAAGGAAACATCAGACCAAACAACAAGAGGAGCAATACAGATCCAACTGCATCTTCTAAAGCCTACACAAAGAAACCTTCATTTTCACTACTTACAATTTTCTTCTATCCTGCCTAAAAGCAATAAATGTTAAGGATTGACAAAGAACGAAGTTTTAGTTCTTAGCTTGTATATGTGCAGTCTCATTAGTATCAAAACAGAAGAGTGTCCATGATGCTCTGTCCACATGCAATATGAAAATAAAAATTGTTAGATAAAGGCAAAGCAAAGAATAGGTCATAATGGTGTTTTCTTCAGTTATAAATGTTAAGCTTTATCTAGCTATCTGTTGTGTCTAAAGCACCTTTTAAGTAGGACATTACATGGGACTGAAGTAGATTAGGTTATCCTGAGGCAATTTCCAAACATATAATTTAAACATTTACCCTGTGACTTTTTATCCCAGGCTTCCTTACACTGGCATGACCAGATGCAGGGGACCTGTGATTTTCAAAATTCCTAGGAAAGTCTAGGAAATAGAACAGATAAGTGCAACATTGTGAATGTTAGTTTGCTTTCTCTAGCACTTATAAAAGCATGAAGCACACTAAACCATTTTTATCGGATTCATTGCCCATTCAGTACTTGCTTTTCATTAACGAATATTTACCTTAATTTTAATAGGTGAATCTATGTAAATCCACCATAACTGACTCCCTATTTTCCAAAAAGAATGTAACATCATATTGGTAATTTGCTTTCAATATTAACGTAAACTGAAATGAAGAAGTAATATAGATATTTAACTTGACTGGGTTTTTTTTCATCTAAAAGCAATGATTAATAATGGTAACAAAATGTAACAGACCTCCAAATCACTAGTTGCATCACTGGTAGAATAATAATAGTGTCACTGACACCTGGTGCTTTAATTATTCTCTACAGAAAACTTTTATTATGCCAGAATGAACATGTTCAAAACTAATCAGGAAGATTAATCAAAGTCACTTTCTGAAATGGGCACTATAGAAATCACATACACCAACTTTATTTCAAAATAAAATGCAGTTTATTAACTCCATGATATCATTTATGTCATGAAAAATTCCCAACAGTTCCTTTAATTAAACTACCCTCTGGCATGGGAAGTGAAAGTTTTCAGGTTTTTCTAGGGGCTTTTCCACTAATAAACACAGAGACAGAAAAAAGGCTCTGAAGTTGAAGCCATACAGGAAGAAGTGGGAAGAGGTTGTCAATTTATAGCTTTTCCAAAGTGTTTGAAGTTGCAAAAAAAAAAAAGGGGGGGGACAAGGTTTTATACTGCCCATATTTATACGCTGCAGAAAAAAATTGCATTCTGTATTTATATGGGGAAGTAACTTTTACGTGGGGAATCTGTCCTAAATAAATTTAAATTTTAAGAGATACGGCTTACTACTTATCAAAACTAAGCACAATTTAGGTATATTATCCCTGAACTTTCCCAGAAACTACACATTCAACATGACTTTCTATAGGATTCTATGGCAAGACACAAAACCAGACATAGCCTAGCAATTTTTAGGATGAATTACACCTATTTTTAAACTGTATGTTTGATCGCAACCTGTATGTTAAAGAAGCAGCAGGGCAACTGAATAGTAATTTTATATTTTGCATTGGTGTATTTCATGTTTCCCCTTCTAGTGAAACCCTTTTTGGGAACCCCAGCAGCATCAAAACTTTTGCAATTTCTGTAGAAATCCAATTCCCACTGGATAATGTGCTATTGTTTTAGTAACTAAACTGAGAACAGATTTAAGTTAAAATAGTAGTATGAATCACCCAGATGACTTTTTCATCTAATATTTACATCAGTTCTACTTGAATACAAACACCATTAAAAACTAAGAGCGCATGTACTAAAAAAACCTCATATATATATGTGTGTGTATGTATGTATATTATACATACATACATACTTACATTTTAAGAAGTTACTCCTGTAAAACCCACAAAACCAAAAGGCTTAACCTAAAAACATACCCAGCACCTACCCTTTTGTTCAGAAACAAAACTGATGTTCATCCATGGCACAAACTCACTTTCCAGCACCGATGCACACCCATTTAGGTGTTTTAATGGGATCTCGTTGGGAAAGGAGGGCAGACTATGAATCACCTCATTCAACTATAATTGGGGGGGCGAGGGGGGGAGATTTTGACTTTAAATCAAAAACCTTTCAAACCCAACCCATCCTAGTTTGAAATGGGAGTACAAGAGGAGGATCAACGGAAAGCCAAAAGATGGGGGGGGGGGGGGGGAAAGTGAGGTAAGTGGGGGGGGAGAGAAGGGGGGTCATTTAAAAAAGGGCTTGCCTGGGGAGGGACGCCCAATGGGGATGGATTAAACCCCCCAAAAGGGGGGAAAGGGGGGGGGGGGGAACCGCAACCCCAGAGGGAGCCAGAGGGCCGCCGCCAGCAGGCTACCGACCTGTCCTCGGAGTCCATGCGGCTGAGCGGCTCCCCGTCGGAGGAGATTTCCAGGCTGCCCCTGCGGCCGCCCGACGTGGCACTGCAGGAGCTGCTGCCGCCGCCGCCGCCGCTCCCCGTGCCGTAGCCCTCGTCAGCCCCGGCCGAGGCTCCTCCGCTGCTGCCGCCCCCCGCGTCTCCCTCGGATACCACCGCCGCCGCCGCCGCTTGTGGGGCCGCCGCCGCCGCTTGACTGGAGTCCCCGCCGCCGCCGCTGCTGCCGCCGTCGCCGGAGCCGTCAGGCCCTCCGCCCGTGCCTACGCCGGCCCCGCCCGAGTCGCCCTTGACGTCGGCCTCGCTACCGCCGGGGCTGAGCGAGCGGGTGTCGTCGGTGCAGCAGCCGCTGGAGGAGCCGGAGCTGCTGCCGGCCTCGGCCTCTTCTTCCTCCTCCTCCTCCTCTTCCTCCTCGTCCTCCTCCTCCTCTTCGTCCTCGGCGTCGTCGTCTTCCTCCTCGTCCTCGTCGTCTTCCTCTTCGTCGTCGCCGTCCTCCTCCTCTTCGTCGTCGCCGTCTCCGGTCTGGCTGGCGCTCTCCGGGCTGGGCTCCGACATGCTTTCTGCCCCTTCGCCGTTCAGCGCCGCTGGGGGCGGCTCGGCCTCAACTCCCGCCGCGGAGGTGGAGGAGGAAGAGACGGAGGCGGCTTCGCTCTCGGCCGTCTCTTCGGCAGCGTCTCCGCTCGAGGGCGACGCGGAGGAGGAAGAGGAGGAAGAGGAAGGCGGCGGCAGGACCGCGGGCGGCTCCGCCATGTCGCTCAGCTCGGCCGCCATGACGTCTGGGAGTCGCCGCGCCGCTCCTGCCCTGGGAGTCTCAACCCAGCGCGCGCACGTGTACGTGCGGGAGGGCGGGGAGGAGGAGGCGGAGGAGGAGGAACCCGGGCCGACGAGGGGGCGTGGCTTCCTCTGCGGTTGCGGTTGCAGCGCTGTGTGCGGTATGGAGTCCGCCTGCAGACAAAAGGGTTAAGAAAGGATTCGCGTACCAAAGGAAGGCAGGCGCATGCGTGCGTGTGTGCTGGCGGCCCCGGTCATTTAAACCAGTGCTGCTCAATCTCAAAAAAAAAAAAAACCAGTCGATATGGACTTCAGTTCCCAGAATTCCTTAGTCAGCCGTTGGGGAGTTGAGGTCCACACCTTTTAAGGTGGTTCAGTATTGATAAACGGGCGTAAACCAGAAGTCTTCAAACTTGGCAACGTTAAGATTTGTGGACTTCAACTCCCAGAATTCCCCAGCCTGTACAAGTGGCCGTTAAGAACTACATGTATATTGACTGAAGAATTCTGGGAAATGAGGGTCACCCATTTCAGAATTGCCAAGGTTGAGAAACATTGGTATATAGATCATGGCAGAAGATGGGACATATCAATATGTCTTACATATTCTTTTGAGTTGTCTTGGTAATAAATGAGCTTGTGTAAGAACTGAGATGGAGGAAACAGTGAAGCAAAATAAAAACGGAGGGAGATATATGTATATATTGTTATCTCTTTATTATATAAGAATAGTGGCACTGGAAGGGAAGATATTGGAGGCTGGCATGCTAACTGAAATATGCCGATGACACTATTTTAACTGAAAGAAAAATCTTAAAAATGTTTCAGTTTAGTAAAAATGTAAAACAAAAAGTAGTCTATTATCAGATATTACAACGTCTGAGAAGTAAAAGAAGCAAACATTTTTAATTTTCTTAGATCTAATGAGTCAAAAGGGACCGTGGGTGAAGAAGTGAAACATAAGTAAACTTTAGTGAAGAACGCAATGACAGTTTTACAGAATACTATGAAGGATAAAGATAGTTTTTTAATGATAAAAATCAAAATGGTTCTACCACTGGTAAAATTAAGGCTGTCAGAGCTGGACATTGAGAAATACTGAAAGAAAGAAAAAAGGATAGATACCTTTGAATTAGGAAATTAGTGATATATTACTAAGAATTTCGTGAAGAACCAATCAGTCTTCAAATAAATAAAAATCGATTGCTGTCTTCAGGTTATTATCACAAAGCAGAAACTCTCATGGTGTGGATATGTGATACAAGCAGTTGATAGACCAAACGAAATGACTATGCTTGGTAAAATAAGCATAAGACACTTAGGAGGAGCAGAGCATAATGGATAATTTGATGGATATGATCAGGGTAGTTATAGGAGGTAAGTAGAGTAGTGATAGGAAATTATGGAAGGGAAAAACTGCAATTCATTACTAGAAATAGAGCAAGATGATAAATGTTTGACAGTAAAATCTAGCTCCCAAAAACCCATTTGGGTATCCCAGAAATTTAAATTAGCATGAAACACATGAGAAGATGTGAAGAAACAAGGACAAAAGGGGGGGTGGAATCAAGCAAAAAGAGGCTTGTATATTCGTTGGTTTATAACTTAGTTTTCTAAAGCTTCCTGACTCAACAAAATATACGTAACTTACCATTAAAAACAACATCACGGTACATTAGACCAGAAAACAGATTGCAAGTAGTTCACATCTTAACAACCATTCATTTAGCAACTGTTCAAAGTTACAGTGGCACTGAAAAAAACATAACTTACAATCAGTCCTCGCATTTACAGCTGTCACCATGATGGTCGCTTGGCAACTGACATGTATTTACGATGGTTGCAGCATCCCTGGGTCATTGAGATCATTATGTTCAGCCTTCCCAGCTAGCTTCCAACAAGCAAAGTCAGTGGATTCGCTTACCCACTGCATGATTCACTTAATGACTCTGGCAAAAAGGTCATCAAATCAGGCATGAGTGAGGTAACAATGGCCTTGCTTAGCAATGGAAGTTCTGGTCCCAATTATGGTTGTAAATCCAAGATTTCCTGTAGGCAGTGTAAATTCTCTTTTGTTCATGCCTTTTTTTTCTTTTTTTGCTATTCCTACTTTTGCTTGTTTATTAAAATGGCACTAGATTGCTGTTTTATTTTCTAAGCTTGCTTGTGGGGCCCTTGTGGAATCCAGAGCAATTCTTGGAAATAAAGATAATATTTGCTTTCCTATGGAAATATTAGGCAGAGGAAAAGGGGCTCTTCGCCAATAAAAAAAATGTCTACAGCCGCAGTGGCACCCAGAAATACTACATTGGAGAGTACAAAACAAGATTTCCCCCCCACAAGTTCTCATATTTTGGCTCCTGCCAAGAACCGGTTGTCAAGAAGGAGAAAGCACTTGTAGAAGGACCTGCAAAATCCACACGTTAAGAAAGATTGTGGCTTAAGATAACAACTGCTTTTTTTCCCCCTGGGTCAACCGTGCTCTGCAGTTCCCAGGCCTAGTCAGCAAATACCCGCTGTCTCTGCTGGAGTTCATGTGGAATCTGTGACAGAACTCTTTCGTCAGCTCCTGATACTACTGGCTGAAGTTAGAGTCCCATCACACACACACACACACACTCCTTTCTATTGTGCCTTTTCCCAAAGCTTTCTCAAAGTGCCCCTTCTTAGGACCCCATCTGCATTCCTATGTCATCAAGACATGCCAGCTTTCATTTCTCAAACTCTGGGGGACAATCGTAAACCGTAAACTGCAGGAGAACAAAAGCTGTAGGGGGAGGAGGCAAACTGCTGGAAAACAGCAGCTGCCCTAGCTTAAAAAAAAAAAAACAACCTCAGAGCTTAGGGCCCCTCTGTGTGCTCTCTACTCCGACCCCCACCTTCAACGTCCAGCATTTTTCCAGCCTTCGCTTCAAACTCCCTAATCCACTTGGTGCACAAACTGGAAATGAGCTCGGATTGAATTACTTCTGGGTGACAGCAACCAGCAGTAATTTAATAAGTCTCCCCCCCCCCCCCCCCACACCTGGTTTTCTATAAGCCAAAAGCTAGAACTTTCTGGAGAGAAAGTCAGAATTTTTCAGCCTGGAATGCTCTTTTCCCTCCCAATATTTCTATACGGAGGAAATTCATTTGACTTAGTGAGAAAGGGCAAGGTTTGGGGGTTTAGGGCCTTGGTAAGAACAAAGCTGGCAAATAAAACAGTCTGGGGATATAGCCTCTGTTTTTCATCCGCCAGAAGGAACCAAATGCTCCTTTTGCCATGGGGCTCTGTTTTAAACTAAGGATTTGTTCCCAGCAGACAAAAATGAAATCTTATTCCAGTTCATAGTCCAGATCTGTAGAGAATTCTGGCTGTGTGTGTCTCTCTCTTTCAATATTTTTGTCAGTCTTCTAAGCTTTGTAGGGAAACAAGGTTTCCAGGAGATGCTGAAACAGGTCTAAAAGTGTAGCAGACTTCTGAGTTAAGTGAAGCCCCACATTTATGATAATGATCCATCACTATCGTTGTATGTACACTGAGAGCTTTTGCACCGGAGACAAATTCCTTGTGTAGTCTAATCACATTTGGTCAATAAAGAATTCTAATTCTATTAAATGTCCTTTCCATTCTACGAATCCTTCCCAGGTGAGTCAGGCGATGAGCTAGTTTGCACAATTACACCACAATTGTAGTCCTTACTGTTCTCTTAGTGCACTGATGATGTTATGAACAACCAAGCTCAGAGAGCACCAAGGACCGCACAGTTCAACCCTGAGATAAATATATATTATCTTCTACCGTAAGCCACAGGTTTTTAAATCTTGGTTTGTTAACGAAGTCAATGTACTCTTGAATGTATTGCATGAAGTCAAAAAAATTTCAAGGAGTGACATAGCAGCATGTTGAATGATACTTCACAACCAATCTAAATCTAGGTTCCAATCTCAATCTTGGGTTTGGAGAAGGAATATTGGTGCAAAACAACTGTTTTACTCCTGCTTTACTCCTTTGGAATTGCTTATTGCCCCCTTCTTTCTTTCACACATCTCCCTTGCTAAAATTCCTTATTCTTATACTCTTATAAAGTTCCTTTATAGGTTTTTGCAGGGCAGGTGTAAACCACAACTGTTAATTTGTTAATGTCACAAGGCTACGTGGAATAACTTTATTTTCCAGAGAATTTTTGTGTCTCATTTTTCTCATCCAACATTCAGTCACAGTGTTACCAAATTCTACGCAATATCAGAACAGACATGAGATCACAGTGAAATTTTTTCATAATGCCCTTACAGAGTATTGGAATTTTTTAGGTGTCTTTTTGTGATAGTATGGTATGTTTTCTCTGGTTTCTGTCTGCCCCACATTAGAGGTTGCTGACATTAAAGAGCAACTGGAGATTAGTAATAGAATACTATTTTAACATCTGGTCTTGGGAAAAGTGTGGTGCAGGCATCTCATGAGTGAAACAAGGAAAATGAGGCTTTTTTAAAAACTAAAAATGTAACAATTGAACAGAGCAAAGACATAGGGACATAAAATCATCATCACACTGGATCATTCAGCAGCACATCTTCCTAGCTGAGTTACTCAATATCCTAGTCTTGGACTTTATTTTACTTTACAAAGTGGACTTTACTACTTTGTATGAATTCAGCCATAGGGGAGTATAGGCACTGGTGGGATTCAATTTTTTTTACTACCGGTTCAGTGGGTGTGGCTTGGTGGGTGTGGCAGGGAAAGGATATTGTAAAATATCCAGTCAGAGGTGGCATTTGCCAGTACTCTAAACTACTCAAAATTTCCGCCACCGGTTCTCCAGAACTGGTCAGAACCTGCTGAATACCACCTCTTAGTACAGGGGAAACGCTTGCACTATCCTGGACTGAATTTTCATGTCAAGCTCTTGGCAAACAATTTCAGTCCAAACCAAGATTTTCTCAGTCATAAATCAACCAGGTTTATTGAGGGGGAGAGGTTACAGAAATCCCAGCAGTTTGACCTTGGTTACTGAGGAAGGATTCAAGCCAGAGATGTTTACAGGAGTTGGAAGAGAAGACCGCAGCGATAATGGTAACCCAACCCTTTTCACGTGTCCCCCTTGTAGATGCCCTCATTTAAATCAGTCTCCCCAATCTTAGGTGAATTAAATATAATTCTGTTCTTGTAGCTAAACCTTTAAATTAAGGAAAACATGCTTAGGGTCAGG